CACACACACACACACACACACACACACACACACACACACACACACACACACACACACACACACACACAATTTATAGTTTTCTCTTATATACACAAACGTATGTACAGCTGTTACATTATGTCTTACAGGAATTATAAGGGAGAAACAGAACAAATCTTATTTGGTGAAATATTAAAATAAAGTTTGCAGTCATTAGTCATCTAATCGACGTTAAGGTACACCTGGAGGGATGGAGAGCAACAGGATTACTGTGATTGGAGGAGTAAACACTCGTTGACAATCAGGTGAAGTGACAGGCGGACAGACCTGCCAATCAGAACGTACAGCAACACAGTGAGCAGGATGATGGCCACGGCGGAGGAGATGGCGATCAGAACAACCTGGCTGCTCTCACTGGAGATGGAGAAGGCTGCTGAAAGTCAGAGAGAAACAGGTGATGAGAAGTTAATTAAGGATACTCGTTAAATAATACAGAAAACAACACACTGCAGCTGTTGAAACCCAAAGGGGCTAACAGAAAGTTAGAATTCAGAACCGCAGGAATCCTAGTGCATTAGTTTCAAATAACCAAAACCTTTACATTTTTAATAATAATAATAATACAATTATTTATATACAGTAGCACTTTTCAAACAGCACGTGCAGCTCAAAGTGCTTTACAAAATGGCAGAGATCACAAGTTAAAAATAAACTCCCCTCAGATCAGATGTTAAGACCTTTACAGATACATGCAGCATAGCAACCAAATATAACATTTGAACAGGTTAAGGAGGTAAAAGGTATGATAATAGAAATAAGACACAAGACTAAGGGAATAGATGCAACAATACGAAACCTTATACAATAAAGTAAACATATAGGTACAACAACATTAAAAAGATAATAGTAATAAAAACGTCATAATTTGAATAAAGGTTAAACGATTCAAATATTAAAAGACCAACGTAAAAGGAAAATGGCCAGGGTATTCCTTTTTCTACTTTTCCTTATTTTCAACAACAACTGAAAACTTTCAGAACTGTTACAACATGTGTTTTTTTGTAAATTGTGTAACTTTTTTTATTATAATTTTTCTTTTATCTTGAATATTTATTTTATGCATGCTACTTAGGTAACATTAAGCTGTCTTCGGCTCTTTTCTGCTGTAACAATGTAAATGTCCCCTATGTGGGACTAACAAAGGTATTCTGATTCTGAACAGTAAAATGATCATTATGATAAGCTGCACTTACAGTCGGGGCTGGTCTCGAACTGAAAGCTGGGGCTGCTGGCTCCGTACCCGGCTGCCGTGCGCGCTCTGATCTGCAGCAGGTAGGCCGTGTTGGGCTTCAGACTGCTCAGAGTCACGTTACAGCCCCGTGCACGCAGGATGGTGTAGCTGGTCTCCTGCTCCTCCTGAAACACAAGGCGGATACCGTTTAAATAATTAAAATTATAAATATTTAGACAGTTGCCTATTAAGAAAAATACTTCAATTTGGGTTGGAAACTAGTAATGATTACCATACAATAGAAGCGTTATGTGCGTTTACACACACATGCTTACACCCACTCCAAAATATCCCTGACAACTATCTGATGAATGATGTCCTCCTTGTTTTATGGCTTCTCTCCTACTGATCTCCACTGATAAACAACAGGGGGATTTACACACCGGGGCTGCATTCAGATTATTGTTTCCAGATGTGGAAGGAAGAAAAACGCTGAAGAAAAGATGAGAGGAGGTGGATGGAGAAAAGGAAAGAGAAAGACAGTCTTTTTTTAAATGTATTGTGTGTGTGAGAAAATTAAAGAAACACTATTAAGTATGATTTCAATTATATTTCCAATTTAATGTTTTAATAGAAATGTCATATGTAAAATCCATGATTGGAAAGTAAAATAACTTTGAATTACACAAGGCAAGCCTGTCATTTCAAGGACACCATAATTGAGCGTGAATGAATAAGTACGTTTTAAAAAATTATTCTTATTTCTTCAACAACATTTGACATTGCATTTCCCCTTAGTTTGTGGTTCATACGGTAGCATGTTTGAATTTTCCAGGGTGGAAATAACTGAACTAATCCGTGCTGCAGAGAGATTTGCGATCACATAATTATGGAAGCAATTCGATGCTATGAAACAAACTGCTAAATAGACGGAAAATTGCACTGTGCGGATCTTAAATTTTAACGACAACTTATTAGAGATGACTTCAACAATCCTTAAAATGAGCTACATGTTTTGCAACATAGCCAGTCTCATAAAAATCATCCAAGGCCGAATCGCACGCACACTAAAATCCTTATTTTATAGGCCTAGTAACAAATAGGCCCTCATTGGTACTGGCAACAACATAAGCACAAGTACACATTCACACACACAAGCAGCGTCCAAAAGGAACTTCAGGCCAATTAATGGAGCGGATCAGAGTTTTATGGCGCACAAAGCTTTATAAACTGCTCTATGTGTGAGGAGGTAACGGATACTCCAGACCAGCGCTGGGACAACTCTTCATCACAACTATAAATCTACTCGCAGCTTGTCACCGTTCCTCGTTCAGGACAGCATGTGAACCCCTGGAAATCACACACAGGTGTGGCTAGAGCACCTTTGTGTGTGTGTGTGTGTGTGTGTGTGTGTGTGTGTGTCTGTGTGATCTCAGAGGAAACCTCCACCCTGTGGTTGCGATGCACTGCTGCATCCTGCTCGCTGCTCGCTGCTCTGCCATCTCTTCTGCTAGCATCCGCCCCTCAACGCGTCTCCCTAGCTCTCAGTTTGACCTCATTATCGCCATCATTACCATCGGTATTAGTATCTGCACCCTTCATCATCGTCATCATCATCATTCCTGGCATCTTTATGATAATCATCACCCGGCAGCAGGCGTCCACCGGGCTATCACCCTCCCCGTCATCATTCTCAATATGCTGTTATTATCATTGTCATCATTTCACTCATAATGTTTCTGAGAGGAAGACAGATGCTGAAATAAACCTTCTTGCACCCTAACTGTGTGTCGTTGTCGAGCGTGCTGCAGGGGCGTTGTGCGCGTCGTGCACACACTGCCTCTCCTCCTCCAGAGGCTTGTTCTCCACTTGTGAGCTTCACATTCTGTTAAGTCTGCTGCGAGACATGTGCGCCAATTCTGCTTTGTGTGCGCTGGCAGTTCAGAAGCCCTTGTATGTGTTTCTCCTCTGAATATTTCAGAAGTGGGCTGACAAAATGCAGGCAGAAACAGACCGCCGATGATGACCTCCTTCTCATCGCGCCTCTCCCCCCTTTCATTCTGTTCCCCCCCTTCTCTGCGCTCATTGCACAGGCTTCCCCGCTATTTCTCTCACTGTCTTCATCTTCTTCGTCTCATCACTCTCTTTTCTCTTTTCCCTCCCCCACTGCTTAATACACCCTCCCCTCTTCGTTCCTCCTTCGTGATGTAAGTGTGCTCCCCTCTTTCTCTGTCTCCCCCTCGGTTTCTTGCATCTTGTCCCACCTGTCTGTCCTTTCATCCCACTCGTTTGCTCCTGTGTCTCGTCGCTTCTCTTTTCCCCCCTTCCCTTTCATTCACCCTCTCCATCTCCGTTCTCCTCTCTCCACGGTGTTGCACCCTGCCTGTCTGTCTATTCCATAAAGGGCTGTCTGAGGCCTCTGCTCTGCTAATTCATTCGCCGTGCATCGCCTCACATATCTGCAGGGTCAGGCAGACGGACAGAGAGAGGGAGAGGAGGAGGAGGAGGAGGAGGAAGAGAGAGGGACCAAGAAAAGAGGACATAGAGAGAAAAAAGATGCAGTTTTATCTCCAAGAAACAGAAAGCTAGAGCCAGATCCTGTGGTGGTATGTTCCAGAATCTCTCTCACTCACAATATATACAGTAGCTTGCCATGACCTCCTTCTGCTCGCTGCTTGCTTTGTCATTTGGATCCCTGATGTTTCTCTAATCTAATACTTAAACCACATTGCTGCCATTGTCTCTGTCTATAAAGGAATGCACAGCATATGTGAGTTCCTACGGGAGATGTGCAGAGCAGTGAGGTTTTGACTCTCCTTAATTCCATATGTCCTGTGCTGATAGGTCAGAAAATGTGAACATTTATGTTCCTCAAACTGAACAAATGATGTGTTTAAGTGACATTATGGAGGCTATACTTCACGAGCCAGTTGCACCGGGTCTTTCTAAGTTTGAACATTTTTGTGAAAATGTACCACTTTATGTATATAACTGTCCTGCAGCTATATACCTTACACACAAGTGGGTCTGACATGTCACTTTCAGAAACAAAGCAAAAAGGCGTATTTTTCCAAAACTATTCCTTTAAATCTGACGTGCAGTATTCTCTGAGAACAAATCAGTGTGTGTGTGTGTGAGGAGTGGATGGTTGTAGATGGTTTATTTGCCCTTTTGTGTCAGCGACGTAGAAGTATTTAGGGTATAAGTGAGGGGAAAGTGCTAATTCTTCGTAGTACAGCATACATTACCCCTGTAAAAGATAGACATGCTATTGAGTGTTTGAGCCACATTTATTGAAGAGAAAAAATAACTGTGCTGTCACTAAATGAAGTGTAGCAGCACTAGATCTAGTCCTTCCGACAGCAAGACACTTCTCTGGGGAGCTCAGCTGGTTTTTCCTATTTAACTAACACTAGAATCTCTCCTGCTAGTCAAATGAATGTTACGGTATCATTTGATCTTTTTTTAACACCAAAAAGAAGCAGTGTGATGAAACCTTTCTTTTGGCACGTTCATACTGGCTGCCTTGTAAGGTGTTCTATTTCCTGTGCATTATTGTGAGTCAAAAATAGAAACTGATAAGTCAGAAAGAGACAGTGACAAAAAGCCAGAGGCACACCAAACACACACACACACACACACACACACACACACACACACACACACACACACACACACACACACCATTGTCATCTCTCTCTGCAGCATTTCTTCAGGTTGTTCTTATCTCACATGTCACTCATATGTTGTGTCTTTTTCTTCCTTTCTTTCTCAACCCTTGTCTCTGCAGGTTTTCCTGAGCAGACAGTCTGTGTGGCGGATTTTGAGTTTGATCGGAAGTGAGTGAGTAAGCGAGAGGGAGTGGGTGTCATGGAGGACAAAGGAGATGGAGTTTTCCCGAACACTACCTACCAAAACTTGCTGCTCCTGGGAGCCATCGCGGCGGCGTCCGCCTTTGTGGTCACCATCCTTATTGTCCTTGTCTGCGTTGGATGCCAAAGGTAAGAGGGCTGTCACATTATTTAAAAAAAAGTAGAGGGCTCACTGAAAAAAGAAGAAGAGAGTTTTATCATCTCTGCTGCCAGTTTTATGTGCCCTCCCAGATCACTCTCATCATCCACTTATGTGCCTCTACTACTTCTGAAATCTTCTACTCCCTTCTTTCTCTTCCCTCCATCCGCCCTCTCTTCCTCTTTTATCCCCTGCTCTGAGCCGAGTGGCAGTAATGAATGTTAATTGCTGCGAGTGTCAGATCAGATGAAATGATGTTTACAGGACACTGAGGAGGCAGAGGCCAGAGTCAGAACAGCCTCACATCACCCCTCTAAAGCAGAGTCCTCAGCAGGCAAAAGCAATGGAGCACCCCGCGGTTTAGAGAGGATCATACTCCGAGCCAGGCGAGAGCAATGGAACATCCAGTGATTTTTTTCAGAACCCTCGGGGGCCAATCATAAGCTGCGCTGTGGCTTTGTTGCCATGGGATACACAGATAAGGATGTAGAGAAATGTCAGTCCGGCTCATGTCATGGACATAAAAGCACACTATTGTTAAGATCTAAAGAACGAAGTAAATGCCACCAGAAGGATATACGTCATGTTAAGAGGCTTAATCAGTTTAAGAATGACTTTGTCAGGTACAAATAAAGGATAGACCTACTATTGATTTTTCTGCTATTGATTGAAAAAATCCCCCTTAGGATCACAGATATTGAGCAAGATATTAGTCAACAACTTCTTTATACATCTTTATCCGTTCATGGCACTTTTATCTTAACACCTCTCCTGTTTCATGAGATTATGAACATCTATAGGAGGAGCCTTTCCCATGGGCCCCATCTGTTTGTGCGAAAGGGAGTGGGTTTCAGCTCACGTGGGGAAACTAAAGCTAGCTGCAGTGATATGGACTTAAAACAACTGACCATGTACCGTCATATGTTCAGTTATATTTTGAGAAAAGTGTATAATTCGAAGATTTTTCTATAATGTCTGCCCCTAGCACCATAATGCTAAATATGCACCACTAGGAACTCATGTGTTTTGAAGAAGAACAGTTGTCACATTCACACGTTCACCCAGGAGCTTTTGTCTTCATCTCGTCACTCTCTCACCATATCAACAGGTTCCCCTAGCTACTGCCACCTCCAGGGATCTACGATGCTGCGTTAAACTACTCCGGATACTTTGTTGCACAGGATTAATACCACAGGATAGTAAAGGGAATTCACATAGGGAAACTACAAAATAATATTTATGAGTCTTCTTGTTCTTATCATGAAAAGAAACGCAAAAGTTTGTCATCAAAGGACATCCTCCGCATTGACAAAACCCTGAGTCATGCTCCACTCTCTGTTCGACTGGGCTCTTGATATAAACCAAGGACTTTTATGCCCCGACCAAAGTTAGATGCTGATAGTATCTTTCTGTTCTGAATGTGTATGTTCTCTCTCTGTCCACCGGCTCCTGTTGACCTTCCTCCCTTTGATGTTGTGACAGAAAAAGCAAGAGCAAGCACCCCCCAGCCGGAGAGAAAGGGACATCTGTAAATATGGTGAGACATGCTTTCATTTTACTCCCTCTTTCCCTCCTCCATATCTACCCTGTCGCAATCTCCTTCTACACTATTCATGTCGACTTTTTCCCTAAATAGCTGGTTGGAAAAATAGATGAACCTTATGTATTACTAACGTGTTCATATGTATGTGACAGCAGGGTTCCCTTCGACACCCAAAACTGAACTCCATGAGCAAATCTGACACCAGGCTGCATGAGATCAATCGCTTTCCCTGCAATGGAAACTGTAAGTGATGAGTGACAAGATATTATACAACCATGACACTATTTCAGTGCTTCCCTCTCATCCGCCATCTTCCTCCTCTTCCTCTTCCTCTTCCTCTCTGTGCAGCTGTTGGCAAGAGCCGTCCAGCCAGCATGGACCTCCTGCTGCTCCACAGTCGGCGCTCGCAGAACGACCTAAGACCCTCCCATGGGCGCCAGCTTCCCCAGATCCCCACCAGTCCCACGGGATCTGGTCAGGGGGGAGGAGGGGAAACGGGAGGAGATGGTGGAGGTGGCGCAAGTGGCGCAGGTGGAGGAGGAGGAGGAGTAGGAGTAGGAGTAGTAGTAGGAGGGGAGACTCGAGACCACACTTACACTGAGGTGGGCATCCGCAACAACCCCACCCCCACTCACTGCCTGGATGACGGGCTGTATGAAAGCGTAGGTGTCCGGGAAGGTGATACAGGCCCCAAGGTCCCCTCCGCCCCGCCGCCCTCCTCAAGCAGCACTCCGGCTACAATCAGAGCGGCCCAAAGCCCCCCCGCTCAGGCCAACGGAGCTCGCAATGGGAACGGTCATGTGAATGTACGTACATACACACAGATCCTGTAAACCTGTATCATGAGTTGAATGTGAAAATGTGAAGTGCCTCACACCCAGTGATTCATATTTATTAGACAGAAAATGATCTCCAAGGGTAAATATATGGTCATTACTTCACAAGTCTAACCCAAGCTAACATGTTGCCTGCAGAAAAGCATAGTAATAGCAGCAATATTTTAGATTTTAGTGTGACGGCTATAACAGTTATTTCTTTGTTTGCCTGTGGATGGCATACATCATCATCAACTCGTGTGTGTGTGTGTGTGGCTCTTAAGTGTTGAAGCTGCAGCTGCTGTGTGTTCTGCATCATCACAAATATTTGTGAGAAACTGACATCTCTTGTAAGCTTATAACTTGTGTGTTTCTTCGTCTTTTTTTCCTCCAGGGTGGCAGAGGGAACGGCAGAGGTAATGGCGTCATTAACGGGACGATGGCAGGAATAGGTAATGGTGGGAATGGGGTCAACAGGTCCCCTCTGTCTTCTGTCAACTCTCTCGCCATCCAAGATCAAACTGCAGCAGAGTATGCTTCCATACGGAAGTTCCGAAAGGTAACATTGACTTAGATTTGTATTAAATCGTATATTCTGTTAAATTAGTAGTGGTGGTGGCGCCCTTAATGGAAGTTTTATTTTTCTCAGACTTAAATCAACTCATGGATTCCTTGTGATGTGTTGTATGGCTGTAGACTTCAACGATACTGTAGCATACCAACAAGAAGTGTATTGTGTACTAAAACAAAACACAGATTTTCTGCTGTACTGTATATGTAGGCTTTAACATGACACCGTCAAACAAAAATCGAAAGATAACATCACCTGATTCAGTGAAATTGAAAGTTGGGTCAACAGCAAGAAAGAAATAACTTGTCATCTTAAGAAGAACTGTTAGAAGAATGTATACAGTGTTAGAGAAAGTGTTTTTTATTTACTTTAAATTGAGCAGTTCTATATTTGCCAAACCGTTTTTTTGCACAGAGAGATATAAAGGCATCCATGAGCTTGTCTGGCTGGGAATAAATATAAATTCTCTAAAAGTGCATCATAACAGGCAGCGGTTTATATTTACATTTTGGAGACAGATATCAAAGATAAACAAAAGTTGCTTGATATGAACTTAAAATGTAACATTTTTGATTTTTTGAACTACTTTTACATGTATGATACAGGGCTTTTAGCTGTATTCTATAACTGAAAGTGATATTTCCACTGGTGACTCAATACTTCAAGGTCGACAAGACAAACAGGAAGGAAAATAACGGTGCTGACAGCCATTCAGACCATTCGAGTGTGAGTGATTCACCCTCTACAGCTCCTCCTCCACTTCATCGCAGTCAGGAGTTTCCGCGCAAAGCACTGGAGCCGTTTCACCTGCAAACCTTCCCGAAGGTACAGGAATCATCGGATCAATATGTTCTGTACAAAGCTTTATGCATCAAATCCCCTAACAAGTCACCTTACCAAACTGTAACTCAGTATGGTTACCACCAGAGGGCACTGTCTGCAAACAAACAACTCTTTATATTCCAATTTACAGAACCTGATGGCTTATCTTGCTTTTATCACACATTTATACTTTACAATGATCAAGTATAGTCATTGTATGTGTCATCATATTTTCAGTTTTTCAAAACAAAATAACCCCAAATAAAATAAAATAGGTTAAATAGAATTTCACAAACATAAACCAACCTTAATATCTTGTTTTTAAGATGTTGTCTCCGATTATAGTTTCCTACATGCATAATGGAGTTGTGTGTGCCAGCTGGATGTGTTTGTAAACAGTTTAGGGCAGTTCTGAGAGGGAAATAAAGGGACAATGATCGGATGGTGATCAGCCTTTCCTGTGGGTTTGTTGGCACACATATCCAGTCTTTATGTATGTGTGTATTGCCGTGCAGTACTGTGTGTGTGAGTGTGTGTTTGGCAGAGCATAAAACAGGTGACTTTGTCTTTCCCTTTAGTGATTTTAGGAGCTTGATAAAGTTGTTCAAACTGTTTTTACTTGGCTGTGGATGTCTGCCCAGTTGTTGACCTTTTTATCTTTGCTTGCTAAATCCTTGACGGTGTGTGAGTGTGCATGTATGTGCATGTTTGTGCGTATGTGTTTATACCGCCCATTCGCCTCTTTGCAGTGTGCTTTGCAGCACAGTATTAGAGTGCCCAGAGTAAAGAGTGGAAGGAAGGATTATGTAAGAGCTTGGCAGACTTCCAAAAAGCCTGTGTGTGTGTGTGTGTGTGTGTGTGTGTGTGTGTGTTTGTGTGTGTGTTCAATCTATCAGCAAGTCTATCTAGAAACGGCTAACAGGTAGCAAGCAGCCAGTGTGGGAATAAATAATGTTCACATGTTGAAGCCATTTGCTGTGCCCCTGCTTCTATTACTCAGCCTCACTGCACAGGGGGAGCTAATCAAAGTTTAATATTCCTCTGTCACATGTGCACACACTACTACATTCTTTCTAATTGGTTTCTAATTGTTTTGTTAACACCAGAAGTGATGAAAAAGTAACAAGAGCAGTTCATGTACACCTTATTTTTTTAAGTATGTTATGGTAATATGCAAATACAATACTGGGGTTTAATAAACAGTTACTTTTTCACATACACACACACCATTTCCCTAATGCTGTGCAACATGGTCATTATGTACCTATAAACACAGACACTCAGTCAGACACACCACAACTTGTCATACATGTAAAAACATGTTTTGAAAATTGCTGCACTGTGTCAGTTTAATTCACTCACCTGGCCTCTTCAATTGATTTTGCTTACCAGGAGCCAGTGTTCATGGGCAATGGGGAGCAGTACATCTGGAAGCCTCCAGAGGAAGATGACATCATCACCTTGCACCCTCCTCCACTCCGCGCAGAGAGTGTACAGGGGCACCCATCACCCCCCACTGCAAAGGAGGTACTGTGTGTGTGTGTGTGTGTGTGTGTGTGTGTGTGTGTGTGTGTGTGTGTGTGTGTGTGTGTGTGTGTGTGTGTGTGTGTGTGTGCGTGCGTGCGTGCGTGCGTGCGTGCGTGCGT